TTATATATAAAACAAATAAACAATTACTTAATTAACTAATCAATTAATTAGCTAATTAGCTAATTAATTAATTGATGAATTAATTAATTATTTTAATAAATAAATAATAAAATAAATAAATAAGTGGTTAATTAGGTTACAGCTCGTTGATGTTATTGCAAAAGTTAAATAAATAAATAAATATATATTTAATTAAATAATTATATAAAGAAGAAATGCTACGAGTAGATTGCTTATTTAAATTAATTAATTTAAATGAAAAGACAGTATAAAGATAATGAATAACAATAACAACAACTTTTATTAATAATAATAATTATTATTATTATCTCTTTGTCGCTCTTTAATTTATATTTTTCTTTACTTGTTTATTTTTCTGCATTTGTTTATTCTTAGGCAAGGCTCCGCGTCTGCCTGTGGTAGAGCATTCATTAAAACTTTTTAAGGCTAAGTTCATCTACTTTATTAATAAAGTAAGAAGATATTAAAACGCTTTATATATATATATATGTATATAAATATATATATATATATATCTACATATATATATGCATACATATAACTTTATATATATATATATATTATATTCTCTTGTGGATCGGTATTAGTTTATTTTATAATGTGTAAATAATATATTTTGTTAGATTATCTTGTATGGTATTATATTACATTATATTATATAGATATTATATAAATATTATGATGTATAAATATTATATAAATATTATATAAATATTATATTGTATAAAAACTTTTTAAAGCGAAGTTAATTTTCTTTTTTGTTAACAAAGTGAGAGGGTATAAACACCAGAACCTGCTTCTTCCTTTTAAGCTGCTGCCTCTGTCCCTGCTGCTGCTGCTGCTGCTACTGCCGCTGCTGCTGCTGCTGCTGCTGCTGTTGCTGCTGTTGCTGCTGCTGCTGCAGGTTGATAGGATGGATGCGCTCTTCGATGTTACATTCACTGCTCTCTCTGCTACCGGTCTGTCTTTAAATATATTTAATTTAATTTAAGTTAATTAACTAACTAATAAATATATATATATTTATTTATTTATTATTTATTGCTGCCAACCTTGCAGCTGCTATTAGTTATTCTTCATCAAAACAAAAAAAAACTAAAAAAATAAAAAATATCTGATTGATTTGTTTACTAACATTAATATTTATCTCTAACTATCTGTCTCTCTACATCTATTTATTTATTTATTTATTTATTTATTTATTTATTTATTTATTTATTTATTTATTTATTTATTAGGAAGCCCTTTATCGAGATGCGGACGCTGCAATCGGTATTTAAATTTCATAGCGCGGAGACCCGCTCGTTTATTTTGTCGCCATTGCAATATAACTCTTGACGTGCCTCAGACAGGAACAATCAAAGTAATTATTAATTAATTAATTAATTAATTAATTAATTAATTAATTTAAATATATTCATTTAATTATATATTCTGCTGCTGATGCTGATGGTGCTGCTGATGGTGCTGTTGGCCATGTTTCTTTGCTATTTCTGCTGCTGCTGATGTTGCTCAACATTGCTGCTGATGCTGTTGCTGCTGCTGCTGCTGCTTGCATCCGGCACCTTTGCTTCTGCTTCTGCTTCTGCTGCTGCTGTTTTTTTGGGTGTGGTGCGTTTGCTGTTTTGCTGCTATTCTGTTGCTTCTTCTGCCGTGATC